TTGGTTGAAGTTACACTGTGGTCCGTGTGTGGAGTTTTGACTCAGTTGAAACAGTTTGTCATGAACTTCAACCAGTTAAGTTGGATTAAGCATGTTAGATATGTAAGACATAATAAACAATTTCAATTTAAAGATTTAACAAAGGGATATAAATGAGAATCACACCTGTCACTTGTTCGACACCCATTTTTTATGAACAAGCTGTGTCAAATTCATAGCTTCCCAGTTGAAACATTTCATTCTTAATTTAATGCTATTCAGCACAAAATTATTTGTCTAGAGTATAACTATCAACATCAAAGTGAGTGAGGTTAGGTCCTTAGTCTTCAGAGAAACATACTTGTAATAATGACCTATGTTAAGCAAATGTGAGGTAGGTTCAATCCTACTTTGTGCTCAACAACATCAGGAGACTGTGTCTCAATACCTGTAGCATGTCTCACCTACAGCAGCACACTGTGTCACAATGCCTGTAGCATGTCTCACTACAGCAGCACACTGTCTCAATACCTGTAGCATGTCTCACTACAGCAGAACACTGTGTATCAATACCTGCCGCATGTCTCACTACAGCAGCACACTGTGTCTCAATACCTGTAGCATGTCTCACCTACAGCAGAACACTGTGTCTCAATACCTGTAGCATGTCTCACTACAGCAGGACACTGTGTCTCAATACCTGTAGCATGTCTCACCTACAGCAGAACACTGTGTCTCAATACCTGTAGCATGTCTCACCTACAGCAGAACACTGTGTCTCAATACCTGCCGCATGTCTCACCTTACAGCAGCACACTGTGTCTCAATACCTGTAGCATGTCTCACCTACAGCAGAACACTGTGTCTCAATACCTGCCGCATGTCTCACCTACAGCAACACACTGTGTCTCAATACCTGCTGCATGTCTCACTACAGCAGCACACTGTCTCAATACCTGTAGCATGTCTCACTACAGCAGAACACTGTGTATCAATACCTGCCGCATGTCTCACCTACAGCAGGACACTGTGTCTCAATACCTGCCGCATGTCTCACCTACAGCAGCACACTGTGTGTCAAATACCTGCCTGCATGTCTCACCTACAACAGGACACTGTGTCTCAATACCTGCAGCATGTCTCACCTAGAGCAGCACACTTTGTCCCAAATACCTGTAGCATGTCTCACTACAGCAGAACACTGTGTATTAATACCTGCCGCATGTCTCACCTACAACAGGACACTGTGTCTCAATACCTGCAGCATGTCTCACCTAGAGCAGCACACTGTGTCTCAAATACCTGTAGCATGTCTCACCTGGAGCAGCACACTGTGTCTCAAATACCTGTAGCATGTCTCACCTGGAGCAGCACACTGTGTCTCAATACCTGTAGCATGTCTCACCTACAGCAGCACACTGTGTCTCAATACCTGTAGCATGTCTCACCTACAGCAGCACACTGTGTCTCAATACCTGTAGCATGTTTCACTACAGCAGCACACTGTGTCTCAAATACCTGCCTGCATGTCTCACCTACAACAGGACACTGTGTCTCAATACCAGTAGCAGGTCTCACCTAGAGCAGCACACTTTGTCTCAATACCTGTAGCATGTCTCACCTATCTGTTTCTGCTGTAGTCCCTTCTTCACATCATTTGTGGAAGCTGACGGAATGAGGAATCATAACTAGAAGTCAAAAGAAAGAAGTGAAAACATTTCATCCAGTGTTGAAAATATAACAAGATGAAGCCAGACCAATTTTATTTCTTGTTTTACAGATTTTTGTCCTCAGAAAACCTAAAGGCAGGAGGAAAAAATAATAAAATAAAATCTTCTGTCAAAGTAATATTCCTTTATATACTAAAAGTGTTTTACGTTTGCCAATTTACATGGGGAAAACAGCGAACTAAAAAAAGAATTTCTTGTAAGTTTAACATTTTTGGCCAATAAACACATTAGGATTTTATTTTTTTGAGCGGGGAAAATTCTTTCTTTTTTCCTTATTCTTGGAAAAAATACGGCAGATCTGTAAAACAAGTAATAAAATTGGTGTGGCCTAAAGTGACTTTTTATTGCTTTCTCAATCTTCCAAAGGCTGGTTGAAACTAATCAGGTTTTGTTCATGCAGATATGAAACTACAGGGGTTAATTCGGGACTTTTAAAACAGTTCGCTATAGCCGTCAGTTAATTATATCCGTGTTTGTTTTACAGGTATTTTACTGTAAATTCTCTGATACAATGATTTAGTGAAGGTGCAGCAAACTCTCCACTTTCTATTCAGCCAATCTATGTTAACGATTTTAAATTCTTGGTACAAGCATGTGAGGCAGCAAAACATATCTGATTTCTTGATCTCAATAATGAAAATATACAAGTAGTTTCCAGTGGAAGAAGTATGTGCAGTAATATTGTTGGAGAGTTTACACACACTGACATTTCTGAGCACTGAATGAAAAGAAATTTATACTTTCAAGGTTGTTCCTTTCGTAAAAATGTAAATTTAAGTGCCAAAGAAGAAGGTGAGCATCTGATTGGTTCAAGGACAGCAGCCTATAACCAATCAAGACAATGACAGGCAAACTAGTGGCTGACAGCATGAGCATGGGAGAATGATGACATCCAATCAGCTGGGTCACACAGTATGATAATCTTATTCACATTAGTGACAACTTATGAGAACCATGAGGGGCCCTGTACCAAGAAGTTTTATTTGCGCTAAGACAATAATGAATCTATGCCACTTGCAGCAGTGGGGTGACTGGGGCTGGAGAATCTATGGCCCCATTCCGCAATACCACTTAGCGCTAAGACAATCATGGGATGACTGGGCAGTGAGACTGGGCTAAAATATATTCTGATGCTGGCCCCATTCCGCAATACGAACGTAGCGCTAAGACAATCATGAATCTATTGACAAATGCAGCAGTGAGGTGACTGGGCCAAAATATCTATTCTGATGCTGGCCCCATTCCACAATACGAGCGTAGCGCTAAGACAATCATGAGTCTATGACACTTGCAGCAATGGGATCACTGGGCCAAGAGATCTATTCTGATGCTGGCCCCATTCCACAATACGAGCGTAGCGCTAAGACAATCATGAATCTATTGACAAATGCAGCAGTGAGGTGACTGGGCCAAGAGATCTATTCTGATGCTGGGCCCCATTCCACAATACCATCTTAGCGCTAAGACAATCATGAGTCTATAACACTTGCAGCAGTGAGATGACTGAGCCTGGAGATCTATTCTGATGCCGGTTGCCTAGGGCCCATTCCACAATACGATCGTAGCGCTAAGACAATCATGAATCTATGACACTTGCAGCAATGGGATGACTGGGCCAAGAGATCTATTCTGATGCTGGCCCCATTCCACAATACCATCTTAGCGCTAAGACAATCATGAGTCTATGACATTGAGGTAACTGCAGGGGTTCAACAATATGATTGCCCAAAGCCCAGTGCAGAAAACTTTCTATACCGAGCAACTAAACTGTTCGTTTGAACTTGCCCATGGCCAAGTAACAAATAAAATTGAATTTCATTTCCTATCAAATCAACATACGTAAAGTTCTGCATTTTTATCTGTTTTTCATTGTGGTTTATCAGGGCTTTATTCATGCTTTCTGTTTACATTGTTGCCTGAAGAAAGAGTTATTTCCCTTGGTGTTCATTTTGCCCCAGATGGGTACATTAAATTGTAGGTAGCTTGACTGGGTTCTTTCTTGCATACTAACTTGCGATAGTAGCTTACAAGCACAATCACGCTTAGCAACGTTATCTGGTCTGAATATAGCACCATTGGCAACAAGTCTCGCTACTGAAACGTGTTTGTTTCGTCACAGTTTTCAGCAATTGTTACAGTTAGATTATTGTAATCTATGTCACAAAGTAGTATTGCTAGTTTCTTCGGCAGCAAAACAGATAGCAGTACCATTAAACAAAATCAGAACAGCCACAAGAGAGTAGATCAAAAAACCAAAAGTATGATGACAAAAAACGTTAGAGAAAATAATTGTATAATCAAGTCAAGACCAGACAAGCCAGTGATGTCATTGTGTAAATAATCAAGTCAGGACCAGACAACCTGGTGATGGTCATTGTGTAAATAATCAAGTCAGGACCAGAAAAGCCAGTGATGTCATTGTGTAAATAATCAAGTCAGGACCAGACAAGCCAGTGATGGTCATTGTGTAAATAATCAAGTCAGGACCAGACAAGCCAGTGATGTCATTGTGTAAATAATCAAGTCAGGACCAGACAAGCCAGTGATGTCATTGTGTAAATAATCAAGTCAGGACCAGACAAGCCAGTGATGTCATTGTGTAAATAATCAAGTCAGGACCAGACAAGCTAGTGATGGTCATTGTGTAAATAATCAAGTCAGGACCAGACAAGCCAGTGATGGTCATTGTGTAAATAATCAAGTCAGGACCAGACAAGCCAGTGATGGTCATTGTGTAAATAATCAAGTCAGGACCAGACAAGCCAATGATGTCATTGTGTAAATAATCAAGTCAGGACCAGACAAGCCAGTGATGTCATTGTGTAAATAATCAAGTCAGGACCAGACAAGCCAGTGATGTCATTGTGTAAATAATCAAGTCAGGACCAGACAAGCCAGTGATGGTCATCATGAGTATCGATCCTCACATGTGGTGACATGTGATCAACCAACAACCTGATTCATCTAGTCGCCTTTAATGAAAAGCAAAGGACAATTCTAGCATGGATTCCTACCCACAGGGAGCACTTCAACACAAATATTTTAAACATTTTAATATATGTCAAGTTTTGTTAAAGCTGCACTGTGTTGAGTTTAGTTTGACATACACTTATGACCATGAACGTAGCAAGCCAATTTTTTCGTGTAAGCCAGATATGTTGCAAAGCTGTATATTTAGATAGTATTGAGGGTTTGCCCAACCTTTTAGCAACAATCATGTGCAAGCCCGGGCTTATTTTCTTAATGGTAGTTATGCCCCTTGTAGCATGTGAATAAATTTGTGGTACAGGTTCATTCGGCAGGTTCCCTGGAAGACTGATGTGATACATACCCTGCGCCTCTACCCCCTGGCCTACAGAAGATGCAATCTACCAAAAGGCAGATGATGATGATCAATATCAGAAGGGCAATGATAACAATGGCCATTGTAGGAACCGGAGGACCTGGACCTGACCCTGAAAAAAAAATGAAATGTATATTTCTATTGATGGATGGGTTACTGAAGATCAATTCTATCCCGGATCTTTACAGACATCACTCTAGTGCTCTGGATCTCAGGCTGATCCTTAGACATATGTGAGACCGTAAGGACGCGATTTGACTAAAATTACAGTAAGCTCTGTGTACATGACCAAAAAGCTGTTGTGAAACAATTAAGAAAAGATTCCTCCAAGCTCCTGTAATCTGCCCCCATCTCTGTGGGACAACTGATAGAGGGAGATAACGACTAACCCTGGGTTAAGCTGATGGTTACCCCCATCTACCCCCTCTTCTCCCCCACCACCCACCCTCCACACCTGAGTGAATACTTCAGCTGCCAGTAAACATGGTAAACCTGTATTTCAATATAGTCAAACACAATTGTGTCAAACACTCATGAATCAAACATACAGTCGTCTTGAGGTGAAAGCTTGGCCCATTTGTAACTGCCTGCCTGTTGTATGCATGTTCTTACAACGTTAAGAAACATTAAATTCATCCATGAAAAGTGATCCATGAGTGAGTGAGTGAGTGAGTGAGGAGCTTTTTAGGAACATTCCAGCAATATCTCGATGGGGGACACCAGAAATGGCCTTCACATGTAGGGAATCAAACCAGGTCTTCAGCGTGACGAACAGAACGCTTTAACCACTAGGCTACCCCACTGCCCGGATACAGCCCTAATGCCTACACTTAGCTACTTACATATTTTGGTCTTGTTCGGCTTGGAGGGTGTGTAACACTGGGCGGCTGGTCCGGTGACACTGCATTCCAGTTCCCCACCTGTAGGGGCATCATCAAGTTCTACCTCATCATTTTCTTTGTACTGGTCAGATGTGAAACTGTAGCTGTTGTTAGCCACCTGAAAATATCCACATAACCGGTGACATAATGGACTGAGTGGTCTGGCTCAGAGAATTTGTTATCATACTCTGAGTGAGTGGATGAATTTAGTTTTACGCTGCTTTTAGCAACATTCCATCAATATCAAGGGGGAACACCTGAAACGGATTTAGATATTGTACCCATGTGGGGAATCGAACCCTGATATTCAGTGTGACGAGCGAACACCTTAACCACTCAGCTACCCTACCGCCCTTATCGACACTATCTATGCAAACATGGTAACGGTTGAAATTGTCAGCGTGGTATTCACAACAAGAAGACAAAGTCATCAATATCCCCCGCAATGGCAAAATACTCTTCATGAATATATCTACGAGTTATGATTATGTCAAATATTTAGGTGTGTATATAGAAAAGTGGAAGGAGAGTATTGAAAGGTTTTTCAAGTTCTGCTCCAGTAGAAGCACAATCACCAATTTCAGTCTATGTCAAACTTGTTGCCATGGAAATGCCAAAATTATTTCATTCAGAATTCCAAAACTACCAAAAAGGAACCAGTACACCACCAGACCAATCTATGTGTCAAGTTTGGTGAAAAAATAGTGAACGGTTTTAGAGTTCTGCTCAGGAAAAGAGCACTACCACCAATTTCAGGCTAAGTCAAACTTGTTGCCACGGAAAAGCCAAAAATATTTTATTCAGAATTTCAAAACTACCAAAAGGCACCAGTACACCACCAGATCTATCTATTTGCCAAGTTTGGTGAAGAAATATTGAACGGTGTTAGAGTTCTGCTCCGGAAAAGACAAATGTGCACGGAAGGACGGAAGCACGCATGGACGGACGGACGGACAGAGTCCATTTTCATGGACACACACGCACACGCACGCACGCACGCACGCACACACACACACACACACACACACACACACCCTGCAAAAAGCGTTGTGGGGGATAACAAACAATCACATATCACTACATGAGACATAATTTGTCTCACCCTGATAGTAATGTTGACATTTGGATCCTCTTGAAAACCTTTACATAATGTTTGCAGATGGAAAGTTTTCGGGATGTTGATGCAGTCTGAGTCAGGCGACGGAGGTGCAGGAGTTGGGGACTGTCTTACAGCTGGAATTAGGAAAAATCAAACTGAACAATGAGCATTTCCTGAAATATATTCACAGCTATAAGTAACACTAAACACACACACACCTTAGTCTCTGTTACTACCTAGAGGCTAAAGGAAGTTAAGTCACCATGTCATGTGATCTTAGAGGAGTGAGTAAGATATCATGCTGCGTGTAGCAATATTCCAGCAATATCACAGCAGGGCAATCCAGAAATGGGCTTCACACATTGTACCCAAGTCGGGATTTGAACTGAGATATTTGGCACTGACCATCAACTGCTTTAACTACTAGGGCTACCCATCCACCTTGTGACTCTAGACGGTAACACCTCCACAATCATCTCTGACACTAAAAAGAATTCTGTTATAAATCTGTTTCCGATTCCTGTTTCTGTGTGATTCCTGCCACAATTCTGGTCTGATGGGAATCATGTAATAGAGATGAAAGTTTTGTAAGAATAAAGTTATCCATGAGAACATTACCATATCCTTCGATGCTACAAGTCTTCAAGAGTGGGTTTGTTCCATCATGACAATTCCACGTTCCAACATCCCTTCTACTCAGACTCTCTATGCGCATAATGTGTTTGTCATCTGAGCGAAACACCACCTCATAACCTTGAACATTAACATAGCATTCATGTAAGGTCTTCAGGCATGTTACTACTTCAATAGTATCTGGCCGCAAAACCCGATATAGTCGTATTGGCCAGTTATGTCACAGGTGATGTTGACTGGCCGTCCAAAGCAGCCTACTTCAGGGCATGATGTACTGGTTTCTGCTGCATCTGATGAGAAAAAAGCAAACATTTTGTTACCATGGCTACCATGTTGGACAGTTGGAGCACAACTTTTATTAAACACAGGACAGCTGGGACACTGCACAAGGTTTAACGTTGGACAGTTGGAACACCACTATAATTAAACGTTGGACTGTTGGAACACCACTATGGTTAAATGTTGGATAGTTGGAACACCTCTATAGTTAAATGTTGGACAGTTGGAACACCTCTATAGCTTTAAAAGTTGGACAGTTGGAAAACCACTCTGGTTAAAAGCGGACAGTTGGAACACAACTAGGGTTAAATGTTGGACAGTTGGAACACAACTAGGGTTAAATGTTGGACAGTTGGAACACCAAGTAGGGTTAAATGTTGGACAGTTGGCAACACCACTAAGGCTAAATATTGGATAGTTGGAACACCTCTAATGGCTAAATATTGGATAGTTGGAACACCACTATGGTTAAACGAGGACAGTTGCAACACCACTCAAGGCTAAATATTGGATAGTTGGAACACCACTTTGGTTAAATGTTGGACAGTTGAAAACCACTATGGTTAAAATAAGACAGTTGGAACACCACTTTTGTTAAATGTGGACAGTTGGAAGACCACTATGGTTAAATATAGCACAGTTGGAACACCACTTTGGTTAAATGTTGGACAGTTGCAACACCACTAAGGTTAAATGTTGGACAGTTGGAAACACCTCTAAGGCTAAATATTGGATAGTTGGAACACCACTATGGTTAAACGAGGACAGTTGGAACACCACTAAGGCTAAATATAGGACAGTTGGAACACCACTAAGGCTAAATATAGGACAGTTGGAACACCACTTTGGTTAAATGTTGGACAGTTGGAACACCACCATTGGTAAACAGGGGACAGTTGGAACACCACTTTGGTTAAATGTAGGACAGTTGGAACACCACCATTGGTAAACGGGGACAGTTGGAACACCACTAAGGCTAAATATAGGACAGTTGGAACACCACTTTGGTTCAAATGTTGGACAGTTGCAACACCACTAAGGCTAAAAATAGGACAGTTGGAACACCACTAAGGCTAAATATAGGACAGTTGGAACACCACTATGGTTAAATATAGGACAGTTGGAACACCACTAAGGTTAAATATAGGACAGTTGGAACACCACTAAGGTTAAATATAGGACAGTTGGAACACCACTAAGGTTAAATATGGACAGTTGGAACACCACTATGGTTAAATGTTGGACAGTTGGAACACCACTATGGTTAAATGTTGGACAGTTGTAACACCACTATGGTTAAATATAAGACAGTTGGAACACCACTGCGGTTAAATGTTGGACAGTTGGAACACCACTATGGTTAAATATAGGACAGTTGGAACACCACTATGGTTAAATGTTGGACAGTTGGAACACCACTATGGTTAAATATAGGACAGTTGGAACACCACTATGGTTAAATGTTGGACAGTTGGAACACCACTATGGTTAAATGTTGGATAGTTGGAACACCACTATGGTTAAATGTGGACAGTTGGAACACCACTATGGTTAAATGTTGGACAGTTGGAACACCACTAAGGTGAAAAAATAGCACAGTTGGAACACCACTATTGTTAAATATAGGACAGTTGGAACACCAGTATGGTTAAAAAAGGACAGTTTTAACACCACTTTGGTTAAATATAGGACAGTTGGAACACCACTATGGTTAAATATTGGACAGTTGGAACACCACTATGGTTAAATGTTGGACAGTTGGAACACCACTATGGTTAAATGTTGGACAGTTGGAACACCACGATGGTTAAATGTTGGACAGTTGGAACACCACTATGGTTAAATATAGGACAGTTGGAACACCACTATGGTTAAATGTTGGACAGTTGGAACACCACTATGGTTAAATATAGGACAGTTGGAACACCACTATGGTTAAAATTGGACAGTTGGAAACCACCATGCTTAATATGGTTAAATAAATAGGACAGTTGGAACACCACTATGGTTAAACGTTGGACAGTTGGAACACCACTATGGTTAAATATATTGGACAGTTGGAACACCACTATGGTTAAATGTTGGACAGTTGGAACACCACTATGGTTAAATGTTGGACAGTTGGAACACCACTATGGTTAAACGTGGACAGTTGGAACACCACTATGGTTAAATGTTGGACAGTTGGAACACCACTATGGTTAAAATGTTGGACAGTTGGAACACCACTTTGGTTAAATATAGGACAGTTGGAACACCACTATGGTTAAATTGGACAGTTGGAACCACCACTTTCATGTTAAAAATAGTTGGACAGTTGGAACACCACCACTTGGAACACCACGATGGTTAAATGTTGACAGTTGGAACACCACCATGGTTAAATATAGGACAGTTGGAACACCACTATGGTTCAAATTATGGACAGTTGGAACACCACTATGGTTAAATGTTGACAGTTGGAAAACCACTCATTATGGTTACCATGGTTAAACGTGGACAGTTGGAACACACCACTATGGTTAAATGTTGGACAGTTGGAACACCACTATGGTTAAATATTGGACAGTTGGAACACCACTATGGTTAAACATAGGACAGTTGGAAACCACTTTGGTTAAATATAGGACAGTTTGACACACCACTATGGTTAAATATTGGACAGTTGGAACACCACTATGGTTAAATATTGGACAGTTGGAACACCACTATGGTTAAATATTGGACAGTTGGAACACCACTATGGTTAAATATTGGACAGTTGGAACACCACTATGGTTAAATGTTGGACAGTTGGAACACCACTATGGTTAAATATTGGACAGTTGGAACACCACTATGGTTAAATATTGGACAGTTGGAACACCACTATGGTTAAATATTGGACAGTTGGAACACCACTAATGGTTAAATATAGGACAGTTTGGAACACCACTATGGTTAAATATTGGACAGTTGGAACACCACTATGGTTAAACGTTGGACAGTTGGAACACCACTATGGTTAAATGTTGGACAGTTGGAACACCACTATGGTTAAACGTGGACAGTTGGAACACCACTAAGGTTAAACGAGGACAGTTGGAACACCACTATGGTTAAATGTTGGACAGTTGGAACACCACTATGGTTAAATGTTGGACAGTTGGAACACCACTATGGTTAAAAGTTGGACAGTTGGATCACCACCACTATGGTTAAATGTGGACAGTTGGAACACCACTATGGTTAAACGTTGGACAGTTGGAACACCACTAAGGTTAAATATTGGATAGTTGGAACACCACTATGGTTAAATATTGGACAGTTGGAACACCACTAAGGCTAAATAAACGGACAGTTGGAACACCACTATGGTTAAATGTTGGACAGTTGGAACACCACTATGGTTAAACGTTGGACAGTTGGAACACCACTATGGTTAAATATTGGACAGTTGGAACACCACTATGGTTAAATATTGGACAGTTGGAACACCACTATGGTTAAATATAGGACAGTTGGAACACCACTAAGGTTAAATATTGGATAGTTGGAACACCACTATGGTTAAACGTTGGACAGTTGCAACACCACTAAGGCTAAATATTGGATAGTTGGAACACCACTATGGTTAAAATGGACAGTTGACAGAACACCACTATGGTTAAATATTGGACAGTTGGAACACCACTATGGTTAAATATGAACACCACTATAGGCCAAATATAGGACAGTTGGAACACCACTATGGTTAAATGTTGGACAGTTGGAACACCACTATGGAAAGCTAAATATAGGAGGACAGTTGGAACACCACTATGGTTAAAATAGGACAGTTGGAACACCACCAGTTTGGTTAAATAATAGGACAGTTGGAACACCACTATGGTTAAATATTGGACAGTTGGAACACCACTATGGTTAAACGTAGGACAGTTGGAACACCACTATGGTTAAATATTGGACAGTTGGAACACCACTAGTGTTAAAATAGGACAGTTGGAACTTACCACTTGGTTAAATATAAGGACAGTTGGAACACCACTATGGTTAAATATGTTGGACAGTTGGAAACCACTATGGTTAGACAGTTAAGGGAGAACACCACTATGGTTAAATATTGGACAGTTTGGAACACCACAGTTGGAAACCACTATGGTTAAACGTGGATAGTTGGAACACCACTATGGTTAAACGTGGACAGTTGGAACACCACTATGGTTAAATGTTGGACAGTTGGAACACCACTATGGTTAAATGTTGGACAGTTGGAACACCACTATGGTTAAAATATTGGACAGTTGGAACACCACTATGGTTAAATGTTGGACAGTTGGAAAACCACTATGGTAAAAAGTAGACAGTTGGAACACCACTTTGGTTAAATGTTGGACAGTTGGAACACCACTATGGTTAAATATTGGATAGTTGGAACACCACTATGGTTAAATATTGGACAGTTGGAACACCACTATGGTTAAACGTTGGACAGTTGCAACACCACTAAGGCTAAATATTGATAGTTGGAACACCACTATGGTTAAACGTTGGACAGTTGCAACACCACTAAGGCTAAATATTGGATAGTTGGAACAACACTATGGTTAAACGAGGACAGTTGCAACACCACTAATATTAAATAGATAGTTGGAACACCACTATGGTTAAACGTTGGACAGTTGAAGCCACCACTATGGCTAAATATTGGATAGTTGGAACACCACTATGGTTAAACGTGGATAGTTGGAACACCACTATGGTTAAACGTTGGACAGTTGGAACACCACTATGGTTAAATATTGGATAGTTGGAACACCACTATGGTTAAATGTTGGACAGTTGGAAAACCACTATGGTTAAAATATTGGATAGTTGGAACACCACTATGGTTAAATATTGGACAGTTGGAACACCACTAAGTTGGCTAAATATTGGATAGTTGGATCACCACTTTGGTTAAATGTTGGACAGTTGGAAAACCACTATGGTTAAACGAGGACAGTTGGAACACCACTATGGTTAAATATTG